GTGAAAAGCATCATCGTGCTCAGTCTAGGAGTACGTCTACACTGCAACATAAGCCCAGGGCTAGTGGAACATGAGTCAGCAGACCCTGGGTTAGAGAACCCAGGGTTTGAGCGTCTACACTGATTGTCAGTCCTACGTTAGGAATTTTCTAACCTGGTCCCCAAACCGGGGTTCCAGCATCTACACTGCAGTACGCAGACCTGAGTGCAATCAACCATATCCCAGATCTCCTAGTGCCCTCCCGTCATGTGACTGCTCTAGCTCTTTGTTGTGCAGTTTTGGGAAAACCTGATTGTCCACTAAACTTGACTGTCCAAAGGACCAAGAAAGCCAGCCCATGGGAATGTGGGATACTTTTGGCTGACTCCCAGAGCCTTGGTCCAGTGGGGCTGCATCTAATTGCAAAGCAATAGGGCTTGAACCCTGGGTCCCAGACTCCCAGTTTGACTCAGGCTTGGACCCTTCACCCTTGTGGGGTCGTGGGACCCTGGGTTAGAATGATTTAGGTAAAGATGGAAGGGAGGTTAGGCTTGAGCCTAAGTTCGAACCTTGGGCTTATGCTGAAGTGTAAGTGCACCTAAGTGCTTTTGGGTGTGAACGTGACCTGAGTTATAACCAGGGATCCTAGTTTTCTGATAAAAAAACCAAAATCCTCTGATTTAAAAAACATAAAAATCCACTTTTTTTTTTTTTTTGCTATTTAAAGGAAACACTGAACTTTAGTTTCCCTAGCCACAATAGATATAGGTGTTAGTTGAACACAATGTTTTATTGATATATTTACCATTTTTAAGCTGACAGCCCGAGCACCGCCGCCTGGGGCTGACATCCCAAGCCCTGCCCATTCCCCTGATTATCTGAATTTTTGATTATCCGAGCTGGCGACAGTCCTAATTAGATTGGATTTAGTTTTATTTTCCTCACAAAATGTCAAAACTAAAGATTCTCTCTAAGAACACAAATTCTGCATTTTTCCGTGGCAAATGGATTTCTAGGATCCCTGGTTACAACTCATGTTAACTTTGTAGTGAAGGCAAATCCTTAGTGTAGACAGGAGCTTAACATGCAGTTATGCTCTGAAAAGGGAATTCACAAATGGCATGATAAAATTCTGTTTACTGTCTCAGTTATTTCTGATCAAACTGGACTGGCTTGGTTTGAATATTTCTTTTCTAACCATCAGCTATGCAGACTCACCAGGGATCTGAGGGTCAAGCTGCGTTCTTTCTGGCTCATTCCTCACCACCAATACAGTCTGCATGCCAAATTTTCCCCTCAGTTACACCTGTGCTGTCAGATTGTCTTCAAAGGAATTGTAAAGTTGTAATTTGGCAGCATTTAGCTCTGTACTGGGAACTTCATTAATGACGATACTTATGATACCTGAGCCATCCGGTTTTATTAGCTCTGCAGTGCTAACAGGTGTAAAATATAGCAAAAACTGATTCTCAATATACAGGGAGTAAATCTGCTGAGCAAGGTGCTATTTTCACAGTTATTTTTCTGACCATAGCCACATTTAAAAGCACGTTTACAGACAAAGACTAAAGCTTATTTGTCTATTGGCCAGCCCTACAAACTCAATCTGGGATCTCAGAATCAAGCTAAATTCTCTCTTTCTTACATCACCATACATCTATCTCTTACTATTTTGGCTCTACATAATTAACAGGATTGAAAAATTGCTTAGGGCAGTAAAAATATTTTTAATTAAATGACCAACACACACGAGAGGAACTGTGGATGTGATCTGTCCCATAACAATGTTTTAGGAGTCTTGTACAGAGCTTTTAGCAAATCTGACTTGAACACACACACAGAGGAACTTTTTTAAAGCTCCAACTAAAGTTATTTTTGTTTGGAGTTAAAGGTCCTTCTACAATGTTTACAAACCAAGCATCCCATCATTGTGTGAATGCATGAGAACCTCAAAGTGAAACTATCTCTTTTAATTGCCCAGGCTGAACAGAACTAAAAAAGTAAAAGTGCATAAATGGATAAAAAAATACAATAGGTTTTTACTCTCCTTCCATTTTTAACAATCAGAGAAGTGAAAGAGTTAAGGGCATTTTAAGTAATATTACTTTTAACGGGACACGGTCCCCTTAACTTCAGGCAGATTTATAAATGTTTGGTTTTAGGATGCAGCCATTTATAGCATAGAACACAGATGATGCAGCGGTGTCACTGAAAGCTCAGGTGGAGTGATTCTGTGCTGTGCAATTTAAGAGAGTAGTAAGATTGATAGAGAGAGTGAAATGAATAAAATCTAAGTGCAGCAATGGGTGTTTCTATGTATAATTTACCACAATAAAGTGATGCATGAGTCAGGACTAAAAATACACTGATTAGGCTACCTGGACTATAAAGTACATATTCCTTTCTTTAAACAGTAGGGCAGTATAATCAGGAAGATGACTCTGTTCAACTAGAACTTTTTATTCAATGTATCCATGCCCTGTTTGTCTTCAAGGCAGATCTGCTGACTTTACTGATACAGAAAAGTTTCTGCTGTTATCCTTGAAGAGCCAACATAGACACAGCAGAGCGAGCTGGAGTCTCTTACAACAAAGTTGTCAGCAAACTTCTGATCCTAGAATCTTTATTACTTATGGTGACAGTAGGAGGCAGAGAGAACACTGCTGGATTTTTCAACTCTCAACTTGAATTTGCGGTGCCAGCAGCTAGGAAAAAAATCAAACATTTGACTTGTAAACTGAGACCATTTGAGCAGGAATCGGTGAGCAAGAATAAATACAAAACCCAACAAGGGTTTCTAAGCAAAACTTTATGCGGGGAAATGGAGGTTAGAAGAATCTACTCAGAAATGCTGCACATTGATCTGTTAGAAAGCAAGAAATCAAGTTTTGTAGCCGGACAAGTAACTTATATTTGGAAAGTCATTCTGGATAGCTGAGTAATTAAAGCATGTATGCAAGTATACTGATGATATGTGTACGTGACAATGTTTGGTCTAAATGTCTCGATCAAATGATTATTGGACATTACAATAAACATTAGAAATGCCTAAGATGGATAAATACCAATAATCTTGAAAAGAGAATCATCAGTTATTTTAATTTATTGCAAATAAAGCTTAGTCATTTGAAACCATGAGTGTGAAAGGCTGCATTAGTGTTTCAAGTATCTGATCACAGATCCATTTTCAATAATAACAGAAGAACAGACAAAGCAAAAGTGTACATTTATTTTATAATCATATTTGCAATAGGCAAGGAGGGTAGGTAAGGAGGAGGATTCAGTCAGAGAGAAGGGAGAAATGATTAAGAGGGGGGAAACCAGGAAGGTAGGGAAAGGTGTGTCTGGGTAAGCAATAAGATGTTAAGCAAGTATTATGCTACTTTTGAGAAAATCAATCTCATTTTTGGGCAGGATGTCCTATGCATATATGCACATTGCTGTACTCTGGTCCTTACTCATTCCATCCCCTCCCTTGTTTGCTACTGTCCCATTAAAAATTAGGCATCAAACCCACAAACATTTACACGTGGTTAACGTTACACATTAGTAGTGCCACTGAAGTCAGTGACTGGGGCCTTAGCTCTTCGGGGCTGGAAACATATCTATACATGCCTCTGTACAGCACAACAGTGGCCTGATCCTGCTTGGGGCTTCTTAGTAACTACAAATTCTTTGGGTCAGAGACCGTATCTTCCAAATTGTTCTGTGAAGTATCCAACACACATTTACTTTAACACACAAACATTCATAAATAACAATACTTAACATTCCCAAGCTAAGATGAGGTATGCTGCCAGGCCTGTTACAAAGGCAGGAAGCCTTCCCATGAGGAAACTGGACAGCATTGCTAGAACACACGGGAGAGTACATACAAAAGCCCATCCCCCAGTCTACACTGTTACAATTTTAATAGTGACATTATGAGATGCAAATAATGTCTGTATCACAAACATACTGAAATCCATTTGAGAGGCAAGATACAAGCTAAAGTGACTTTGGCTAGTTCTGAACCCAATGTAGGTTTTATAAAACCTATTAATGACTGTTTCAGGCATTTAAAAAAAATAGCAAAAAGGTTTTGTTTTGATGAAAATCTTCCTCTGCTGTGTTTATATTACAGACATTGTTAGGCAAGTATATAAATAAATAAGAATTTGGAACCAGATCCAAAAACCCTTTGAAGTCTATAGGTGCCTTTTAACTGACTTCCATATGCTTTGGATCAGACCATAAAACATGCTTCTCAGCCACAGACCAAGAGCTGCTTCACAAAGGGGAGCCAAATATCAGCCCCATATTGTATATGGGGGAATTAATGTGCAGAAGGGAAGCAACTCTCACAGCAGAGCGGAGAGCAGCAGAACTAGGAACTCAGCTCAGGCTGTTTGACTCTCAGACCCGGGCCCTTTCTACAGGAACCTGGTGCTGTAAGGGGGGGCGGAGGGTCCTGAGAGTGAAAGGGACTAAAAGAAAGTGAAACTAACCAGCCCACTTTCACTCTCCAAAGGGAGTAACAAACGCCAGTGGCGAGAAGTAAACAAGGGGGCACGTTTTCACGTTAACAACCCCACGTACACTGGGTCACACAGGTCAGTAAGCGAGGTGGCTTCCCGCCCCCCCCACACAGTAACAAACCTGACAACAGCACTTTGCTACAAGGGAGACAGGAGGGTGGTGCGGGAGCTGGGGAGGACACGAGAGGGATGCGGATATCAGGTCAGTAGCGGATGCAAGGGCGGGGGGGGGGGCGGAGAAGGCCCAGGGACCCGGGACAGAGGCGGGAGGAGGGCCCGGGCGAACGGGGAGTGGGGGGAAGGGCCGGGGGGGGTGGGGGCAGGGCTGGGCGAACGGGGAGCCCCGGGTGTCTCGGGCGGGGGAGGGGGCCGCAGAGGCCCAGCGCGGAGGAGACGGGGAGACCCGGGACGGAGCGGCCGGCCGGGGCTGACGGCAGAGAAAGGCCAAGAGCCGGGGCCGGAGGAGCAGGACCAGCCCCCAGCGTCTCCCCCTGCTTCACTCACCAGCTCATGGTCCCCTCCGGCCCCGGCTTTCTCCCGGAAGCGCTTGTTCTTTAGCCCCGCCCCTTCCGGAAGTGAGGTAAGCGGCACGCTAGACGGCGTGACGTCACGCACCGTCGGGGGCGGGGCCAGCTGGACGTTAACATGCTGCCTCCCAGACAGCCCAGGCCCCAGCTGAGCCACGCCGTCACACGCTTTGTCGTGATGTCACAGTGCAGTATTGTGATGTCACGATATGGAGCCGTGCTTTGGTGCTGTGATATCACTGTCCAGTGTCATGACATCACTGGGCTGGGCTGAGCTGGTGAGAGGCTGCGCCACAGTTTTACAAAGCAAGGCTGGCATGCGGCTGCCCTGCGAGGCTGCAGCGATCACTCCCCGGTTCTGCCATCACCAGCTCTCTGGGACGTGCTCCAGCCCAGCACATTGCAATGACCCCCACCAGCCGTTCTCTGAGCCACTCCAGGGCCTGGCTTTGGGGAACAGCCTAGTACTTCAAACTCAGCTCCCAGCAATAGCTGCAGCTTAGCCCCAGGAGCCTTCCGAGACAGATAAATTGACACCCATGCAGCTGAATGGCTTTCACAAAGTGGACAGCTTATGGGCCCAGGCCTATTTGCAGTGTGCGTATTCCACAGCGCTTTTCCTAGGAGACAGAATTTGCCCAACTTGCCTCGTCCAAAAATCTACCTCTGTTGTTGCACAGTGGATGTGCTACTGGGGGCTGTGTTGCAGCAGTTACGTATGTCTATGGCAGTGGGATAAAGAGGTGTTGCTCCAATGGATTGAAAGACTTGTCTCTCCGCGGACAACTTTGAAGCTAGCTTCTCATTTTAAGCGTGATTTATTTATTATTAGACACAGCCCCTGAGGAAGCCATCCCAGCATTTACACAAGGCCCAGTACATGCTGGGACAGGTTAGCGACTCTGGCTTAGTCATTTCAGTGTAGGCATCCAGCCAGGTTGGGCGGATTGAGTAAGGCTTCCAGTTCTTCCCTTTAATACTGAGTCTTGGTGTAGTCATTCCAGGTTGCCAGAGAGCTGGTACAACACAAAAAAGATTAACAAGTAACAATGCCAGGATCCACAAGAAAAACAAACTTGAGAGACAGGACCATGGCAAGGAACTGATACGAACAAGATACATTAAATGTAACGTGTAAGGTGGAGGCAAGTGACTAAGAAGGAAAATAAATTGCATACTATTTTTAAAAGCCTTTGAGGGAACGATTGTATTATGATTTTTGCAATGTCAGGAAGGGTCCAGTTGCACTCAATAGTCAATGAAATTGATGAAGTACATGGGAACTGAGTAGGGAACCATATGGCTTACCATTTATAATCTTCAAAGCATTTACAAACCTTTAAAAATTGCCCCTCACAAGCTTCCAGGGGTAACTGGCCCCATTTTACAGATACAGAAACTGAAGCAAAAAGAGTAAGACCAAAACATTTAGATGTGCTGGATTGTGCCCTCTGATTTTGGATGCCTTTTGAGTGGCTGATTAGAATTACTTAGGCCCACATCTTCAGAAATATTTAGGCACTTAACTCTCATTGATATCAATGGAAATTAGGCGTCTAAATATTTTTCAGGACCTATGCCATCAGGCACGATTTTCAGAGGCACTGAGCTACCACAGCTCCCGCTGACGTCTATGGGAGCTGCAAGTTTTGAGGTCCTCTGAAAGTCAGGCTCCAGGTGGCTCAGATCAGGCATCAAAAAAAGGGACGCACCCATATATAACAGATTAGTTGGAAAATTTTAATCAAAGTGACTTAAAGTGATTCCTGTGAGGGGGTCCCAGAACCCAAGCCCCAAAGTCTACACAGTAATTTTTATCCCTGCAGCCTGAGCCCAAGTCAACTGATCTGGGTCAGCCGTGGCCATGCTGTGAATCTTTTATTCTACTGTAGATGTACCCAGTAAGGTTATAGGTCCTGCCCTCTCTCATTAGGTCCTTATTTGGCCTCCATTGCTGTAGTACCTGAGTACCTCATGATCCTTAATGCATTTATCCTCTCACCACCCCCATGAAGTAGGGAAATGCTGTTAGCCCCATTGTATAGATGGGGAACTGAGAGATGAAAAGCCAAGGGTTTCAAAAGTATTTATGTGACTAAAGATGCAGACAGGCGCCGAGTGGGAGTTAGGCACCTAATCTTCTTAGGCTCTTTTGAAAATCCCACGAGACACCTATCAGCATCTTTAGGCACCTAAATACCTTTGAATATCTGGTCCTTAGTGACTTGGCCAAGGTCACACAGGAAGTCCATGCCAAAGCAGGGAATTGAATTTGAGTTTCCTGGGTGAATACCCTAACCACTGGATTATTGTCCCTCTGCTAGTCAGTTAACAGGGCGGGGAACAGACGCTAGATTTTCCGCCTCCCAGGCAAGATCGTACACCCTTATAAGTAAAGAACGGGGCATGCTGCTGCCTTCCAAAGAACTAGTGTGACATTTGGAGCCACCACTGCAGAAGGCTGGATTACAACACACTCAGCTTCACACCCCAGGACTTGCATACAAGCTCCCCACCCCGATTGCTGCTGCTGTCAGATGTACTCCTCTCTGCAGTCCTAGATGCTTACCTCTCCCCCACCCAATTTCATCATCCAGGCCAATTACAAGCTTCTCCTGGGAGACCCGTCTCACTCCAGTTTGTGGCACAGGGTTTGAACTTCCCTGCAGCGTGGCCCCAGATCCATATTTTGAAACAGGCACAGGGAGGGAGAGGCCAATGACCTGAGTGCCAGTCAAGATGGCAGCAGCCACAGCCTCTGTTCAGTTCCAAACGTGAACAGGGCGATTGTCAAGTGCAGGCAGGTGCCCTGCCGTGCCAGTGGGATGTGAGGAAAAGGCTTTGAGTCAGTCACTTGTCTGCCAAGCACATGGGGAATTAGAACATCATGTCAGGACCATGCAGACTCCTGTCTGTATCCTCAGGGTGGGACAGGTCTAGAGAACAAAGGCTCCTGTGTTTTCTCAGGTAGCAAGAGGGACTGACGGCACAGGTAACCTTTTGGATCAGTATAAAGAGAACCTTTGAGAAGAGTTGGACCCTTACTACTAACAGTCCCAAGGTAAAATGGTGGTGCTCCAGGGTGATGACTATGGTCATTCTTACCAACTACACCTTTGCCTGGGGGAATCTTTCCATGTTCCATGGCTAGGGAGATACTTGGAGTTGTGGGTGGTGGAGGACTGAGATGCCTTTGGTCTAGGAGTAGATAAAAGGGCATCTCCAAAAGTAAGCCCAACAGAGGGCACAGAAGGCCCTGGCATTTCAGAAGGTGATGGGAGAAGCTAGGGGGGGCTGGGTGGCAACACGAGGGGGTGAGTTTCTAGGCTTTTCACCTCACCCACATACTCCGAGGGCAGAAAAGAGACAGCTCTTGGATTGAATGGGCAATGAAGACTGAACTTCACTCCAGAGGAGGCCTCTCCAGAAATGGCACATTGGCAGCGGAGCTTGCCCCGTTGCACACGCTGGACCTATAGGATCAGAGGAGAGTTCATTCTCTGCAACCCATACAGTCCATGGTCTCTCTGGTGAGACTACCAAGAAAGGGACCGTGCAGTGGTGGCACATCTGCCTTTTGGGAACTCAACTGGGACCCTACCAAATGTTCATGTGAGCTGCCAAAGTTCCTTTAGAACTTTTAGTTACTACTGACCTGGGCTGAGGAACCTGGCAGTGAAATGCTGCATGTTGCACATCCTCCCCCTGTCACTCCCCCTGAGCCATCCACTCCCCGGATGCTGCTCCTTTCCCAATTTAAAAGCCACAAGCGTCCAGGACAATACCGAAGCGTTCCTAGCTAAGTGCCTTGCCTATTGCATAAGAGACTCTCAGGCACTGTGGCTTCCATTTCATGTCTGCCTGTTTGGATTCCTGCTTGCAGAATGACTAACTTTAAGGCTAAAAAAAAAAAAAAAAAATGTTTTGATTACACCGCCTTTTTGCCAACTGGGGGCATTAGTCACAGCATTTTTTGTGTGGAGATACCAGGCTTAAAGCTCAGCAGAGCTCCTTTCTTTCTCCCCCTCCTCCTCCTTTCTGACTTATTAGCAGGATCCCAAGCATGA